AATACGACAATTATCAGGAAATATAAAAGTAAATTAATAAATAGCTTATCAATAGATGGTGTCTTTCCTTTTGCCTTTTTTAATAGGTGTTCTGGATCCTTGTAACTGCCTTCTTGGAGCTCTCATGAGTGCAGTAGTAGGCGCCATGTGTTCCATCCGTCTTGAAGGTTTGCGTAGTAACACATCGATCACCCTCCCCCCCCCCCTTCTCCCTCACTTCCTCTCTCCCTCTCTCCCTCTCGCCCTCTCTCCTTCACTCACTCACTCTTTTACTCGTCCACTCTTTCATTCACTCACTCCTTGTTCTTCTCTCCTCTTTCTGCCTCCTTCCCTGTTTTCCTCTCCCCTCCCTCCCTCATCTTCTCCTTTTCTGGTTCTCTCCTCTCTTCCCCCCCTCTTCCTTGTTCTCATCTGCCCTCCCTCTCTCCCTCTTTGTTCTTCTCTGCCCTTCCTCCCTCTTCCCTCCTCGTTCTCCTCCCCCTCCCTCCTCCCTCCCCCCTCCCCCCTCCTTCCCCCAGACAGTCCGCCTCGTCCGCGCCGGTCTGGAACTCGTCCGATTTTTCCGACATAATAAATTTCCTTGGCGACAGCGGACACCGACGACCTGAGGGCGCGGAGGGAGGGCGTGGAGGGAGGGAGGGAGGGAGGGAGGGACGAAGCGAGCGCCGCCTCCCTCCTCTTCCTCCTCCCTCCCCCCCCCCCCCTTCGCAGACGCCTCCTCCTCCTTATTCTTGAACCGAAGGACGCTTAAGGAATGACAAGGATACGAAGGAGGCAGATCTGGAAGAGGGAAAAAAAACAAAAACAAAACAAAACGCAGCGATCGGATTTTTTTTTTCTTTTCTTTTTTTTGTAGAATTTACCGACGTTTGTTTTGTCTCCTGACATTCCTCGGGCGAGCGAAGGTTAACAGGATTTAAATAGCAGCTTCAGCCCGTGCAGATGACAGACGAAGAGCTTGGGCTTCTGAGGCGCTTCACGGGCTCTGAAGCGAACCGAATCCCTCCCCCTTCCCTCCCTCCCTCCTCCCCCTCCCTCCCTCTCGCCCTCCCTCTCTCTCGCCCTCTTCTCTTAAAGTGGGCGTGTGGGCGAGATAGGTGGGCGGCGCTGAGGACGCTTCGGGGTGGATGGGTACGCAGAGGAAAAGGAGGAATCAACGCTGATAGGTAGAAGTGGACGGTGGATAGTGGGCGGGCGGTGGGTAGTGGGCGAGCGGTGGGTGATATGCGGTGGGCGAGGAGTGCTGGGTGGTTTGTATCCGTGCGTGAATACAAACACAATCGCGGCAACACGCGAACAAAGCTAAACAAAGCTAAAATTAAACCCCCAATTTAAAAAAGAAAAGAAAACAATAAACCTTGACTACTGTGCTTCATTCCATGCGAAACCAGTAGGTGGATATCAGCTGTTCCTCCGCAGTATAGAAGGAGTTTGGAAAAGCTATGAACGAGAATAAATATCTTCGCAGTACAGGAGATGAAATATTTAACCTACTTCGAATATATCCTCGTCAGAAATACATATATATCCGACGAAGACGTGTTCGAAATCGGTTAAATACATCTCCTGTATTGCGAAGATATTCATTCTCATACTTTTTCAACATTTGTCAACATGCACGCGGCTCAGAAGGAGTGGGTTTGTGTCAGCGGCGGAGAAGGAAGTGAAGGCAGGCAGACAGGGAGACCGAAAGACAGAGACGGAGAGGCCACGTTGAGTACTGGGAAGTATGAATGCTAAACTAGCTGGAAACTTGCTCTGCGGGGTAAAGCTGCTCCCTGGACAGAGTGGGCGGGTGGGCCGAGTGGGCGGGTGGGTGGACTGCGAGGGGGTTGGGTGGTGGGCGGGTGGGTGGACTACGAGGGGGTTGGGTGGTGGGCGTCAGGTGGGCGAGCAAGTAATAATAATGCGCGCTGAGGGTCACACTGACGTGGGCGAAGTGTGGGGGGTGGAGAGGGGGTGGGGGGAAGGGTAGGAAGGGTGTTAACAAGATGGCCAGCGTGTGTTTAGGTGTTATAAGTGTCTTGATCTTACAGTCGGTCGGTTGACAGCGAAAAAAAAACGCTCGAACGGATCCAGATTTCAGAAGTGATACTGATCATCTCAAGATATTTTACTTTTTTTCTTTTCTTTTTCTTTTTTTTCTTTACTGATCTCTGCTGTTTACTTCTTTTACATTCATTGAAAGAAAATAAGTGTTCCTGTGTTTTTTTTTTTACGAGAAGAAGCTTTTCCTGAAACAAAAAAAGAGCTTATGCGTCATCACTTCCCGCGCAAATATTGAAATGGCAAACACACCTCCTTGCTTGTCCTCCATTATGTCAACCTCAGATTTTTTTTTACTTTTATCTACGAAAGGAAAGTTTTGTATTTCATATTTTTTGTTCGATCATCTCCATTTGTTGTTGCTGTTGCTATTTTTATTAAGAAATTTATATTTTCGACTTTCGAATCAGCTAATAATGGGGTTTGATTATCAAATTAACTTTTGATATCCTCGAGAAAAAATAAATAAATTACACGCTTTATATCTTGTAGCTTTGATACATATGTCCTCGGAAATAATTCACATAAAAGCGAACATAATACCCAAATACCTAGCACTCACAATCAATCTAAAGTTTATAACCCAAATCTAGTAAATTGGCAGAAATATCTCGGGGAAGAAAATCGTATTCTAACCTACTATTCCGCCAAAACCAACAAGATCGAATTCCTCTTTCGGGTTCTCGTACCGCGAGCTTGAATCCATATTCATGTGTGTACAGTAATTGTATCCTCAGGAAAAAACACTTCCATGGCTAATTCGCGTTTCTTTTTTTTTTTTTTTTACGAGAAGAAGCTTTTCCTGAAACAAAAAAAGAGCTTATGCGTCATCACTTCCCGCGCAAATATTGAAATGGCAAACACACCTCCTTGCTTGTCCTCCATTATGTCAACCTCAGATTTTTTTTTACTTTTATCTACGAAAGGAAAGTTTTGTATTTCATATTTTTTGTTCGATCATCTCCATTTGTTGTTGCTGTTGCTATCTTTATTAAGACATTTATATTTTCGACTTTCGAATCAGCTAATAATGGGGTTTGATTATCAAATTAACTTTTGATATCCTCGAGAAAAAATAAATAAATTACACGCTTTATATCTTGTAGCTTTGATACATATGTCCTCGGAAATAATTCACATAAAAGCGAACATAATACCCAAATACCTAGCACTCACAATCAATCTAAAGTTTATAACCCAAATCTAGTAAATTGGCAGAAATATCTCGGGGAAGAAAATCGTATTCTAACCTACTATTCCGCCAAAACCAACAAGATCGAATTCCTCTTTCGGGTTCTCGTACCGCGAGCTTGAATCCATATTCATGTGTGTACAGTAATTGTATCCTCAGGAAAAAACACTTCCATGGCTAATTCGCGTTTCTTTTTTTTTTTTTTTTTACGAGAAGAAGCTTTTCCTGAAACAAAAAAAGAGCTTATGCGTCATCACTTCCCGCGCAAATATTGAAATGGCAAACACACCTCCTTGCTTGTCCTCCATTATGTCAACCTCAGATTTTTTTTTACTTTTATCTACGAAAGGAAAGTTTTGTATTTCATATTTTTTGTTCGATCATCTCCATTTGTTGTTGCTGTTGCTATCTTTATTAAGACATTTATATTTTCGACTTTCGAATCAGCTAATAATGGGGTTTGATTATCAAATTAACTTTTGATATCCTCGAGAAAAAATAAATAAATTACACGCTTTATATCTTGTAGCTTTGATACATATGTCCTCGGAAATAATTCACATAAAAGCGAACATAATACCCAAATACCTAGCACTCACAATCAATCTAAAGTTTATAACCCAAATCTAGTAAATTGGCAGAAATATCTCGGGGAAGAAAATCGTATTCTAACCTACTATTCCGCCAAAACCAACAAGATCGAATTCCTCTTAAGGACAAGTTTGTATTTCATATTTTTTGTTCGATCATCTCCATTTGTTGTTGCTGTTGCTATCTTTATTAAGACATTTATATTTTCGACTTTCGAATCAGCTAATAATGGGGTTTGATTATCAAATTAACTTTTGATATCCTCGAGAAAAAATAAATAAATTACACGCTTTATATCTTGTAGCTTTGATACATATGTCCTCGGAAATAATTCACATAAAAGCGAACATAATACCCAAATACCTAGCACTCACAATCAATCTAAAGTTTATAACCCAAATCTAGTAAATTGGCAGAAATATCTCGGGGAAGAAAATCGTATTCTAACCTACTATTCCGCCAAAACCAACAAGATCGAATTCCTCTTTCGGGTTCTCGTACCGCGAGCTTGAATCCATATTCATGTGTGTACAGTAATTGTATCCTCAGGAAAAAACACTTCCATGGCTAATTCGCGTTTCTTTTTTTTTTATTAATCTCCGTTCTGATCTACTTTTCTAGTTACAGTTATGAAGGAGAAGAAATCAATACGAAAGGAAAGAATTGATACGGATTTTTTTTCTGTAATGCGAGAGAGTCCGGGAGAACGCAAGGGGATCGTAGTAACCGATATCCGACGCTACACGAAAGCTCACGCGAACGCTGCGGATTTGTTTACTATTTTAGCCAAGAAGGAGAGCGCCTACTTCACCTTCCTTCCTTCTCCCTTTCCCCCCCATTTTCCTTCGCCGCCACACCACCTATCAACTCGCGCGGATTTTGAAAGAAATAAAAAAGTAAATTTTCGAATGTAATAAATCCCAGAGAGACAAAAGAAAAAATTCCGGACGTTCCAGCCATTTCCATTTCACTTCGTACGTGTCCTTCCTGCGCTGACCTGAGGAGGGCGAGGCAGGGGGGAGGAGCCAAGGCGGAGCAGGGATTGTTATGACGGGCTGCCGGGTGGGGCAAAGGGGGGTAGGGGGGATGAGGAAGGTGGGGGGGAGGAAGGTTGCGGTATAGGGGATCCTGCCAGGGAGTTGTGGTTCGGGGGTGTAGTGTGAAGGAAGCCTCGGCGGTGGAAAGGTGTTAGTGATCGGAGGGAAGACAGTGGTTAACAGGACCTCGGAAGTGAATTTGACTTGTTATTATTGGTGTGCTGCGCCGCGCTGTGGTGGAATTTGTTTGAAATTGGTTAGTATGAATCGATCCTTGTGTCCACGAAATATAACGGTTGTTTACTTAAATCGTGTGTTATTATTTAAGAAAATTCAAGAGTGTTTTGGTCCTCTGTACCTGCTATTGGAAGATAAGTGCACATTACTCTATATGGTGTTTGTAAGTCAGTCCGACACTTGGATATGTATATATATTTTTTCTTTTCTTTTCTTTCTTTTTAAATACATACTCCTTTTCTCCTTTGTAGCATTTTTACTCTCTACGTAACATCGGTAAATACGAGTGATAATATATTCGGATATTGTTTTTTTTTTCATGAAAACCATAACATGTATCATCTGTTGCTCCTTCTTCCAGACACAAAAAAAAGAATTTCAGAACTAGAAAAAAAATATCTTATCCTTATCACCACCATCTTGTCCCTGTCCATGTCCCCTTTTCCTCGTCCTTCCTCTCTCTCTCTCTCTCTTCTTCGTAGGACAATCGCACCGCGGTTTCGACAACCCTCGCTATTTATGGCCATGACGATAAGCAAGCAATTAAGTTGATTCCTAGCCGCCCACGCTCATTAGGATAATCAAGTATGGGAGGGCAGTGCCAAGCAGAAGGGGCGCGGGGAGGAACAGGCGTTTCGGAGGGGCGCTTTGAACTGTAATTAAAAGGAGTGTCCACAGTTGCTGTAACGAGGCTTGAACACCCTGTAATCAGAGGAAGTAATTGGGAGTGATGTAAATCTATGGTTAGGTCATTTGCCTTATATTTTGTTTTGCTTTTTTCGATTAGGGTTGTTGGATTCGGCAATGTTTAGATAGAAGGAAGAAGATGAATAACTGAGAGAGAAAAAGAAAGGAAATAACTGATAGATAAGATAAATAAATGAGAAAGCTAAGAAAAAAATATTCTGGAAGCAGATATGTAAATAGATAAACAAAATAAATCCAGGTAAAGAAAGTAAAAGGAAGAAAAAGAATTAGAAAGGAAAACGGATTATAATTATGTAGAAAAGACGAAAATAGAAAATAAAATAAAAAATGTATAATCAAGAGCCAGATATGTACACAGATGAAACAGAAAAAAATAAATAAATCCAAATAAAGAAAGTAAAGAGGGAACAAAACAAATGATCCGAAAAGGAAAACCGATAATCAGGAAGGAGAGAGAAACGCCGAACGAGGAGTGACTCGGCTCAGCTTGGAGCGAGGACTGTTATTATTACACAAAATGAGTGCGGTGGTTATGGTTGGGAAAGGGGGGGAGGGGGAGGGTGTGTGTGTGAATGGGGAGAGGGGGATGGGAGGGCAGAGGGAGTGTGTAAAGGGAGGGGAGAGGGAGGGAGGGAAGAGGGTGTGTGTATGTGAAGGGGAGGGAAGGAGGGAGGGAGGGGAAGAGGGTATGTGTGTGTATGAAGGGGAGAGAAGGAGGGAGGGAGGGAGGGAGTGGTTGGTGAGTCATGGCGGAGTGGTGAGGAGGGACACATGACCTAATAAGGTTTTGCCCACTCGACCTGGCCGGAGTCGTACCGCCCTCACACCTTCACTTCACCTTCTCTCCCCGCCCCCCTTCCCCTCCCCCTCTCCCTCTCCCTCGGCTTTCTTCACCTTTCTCTGCGCCTCTTCCTTCGTTCCTGTCTCTAATGTTTCCATTTACTCCATTCTCGTAAGACATGCAGTTATAAAATTGATAAGTGATATGAATGATAACAATGATAATAATAGCAATAATGAAAATGGTAATGATAATTATGATAATAATAATGATAACAAAGATAACAGTAATGATAACAATAATAATAATAATAATAATAATAATAATAATAATAATAATAATAACAACAATGATAATAACAATGATAATAATAATGATAATAATAATAGAATGATACCAATTCCCATTCCTGTTGCTACCTGCTTCGGTAATTGACTTAGACGCTTTTTTCAATACGGCGGTAATTAATATTCCCAACGCCATGTTTTTTTTTCTTCTATATTTGTTCATCATTCCGCGTCTCCCTTGCTGATAGGTAGCTGTCCTTCGCCAAACAAGGTCAGCGCATGTTCACATTCACCTTCATCGTATTCTGTTCTGTAGCCATACCCTTGCCCCTCGCTTGCCTTTCTCTTTCTGTGTCTGTCTGTTCGTCTGTCTATCTGTGTATGTCTGTCTCTGTGTCTCTTCCTTTCTATTTATTTATCTGTCTATCCCTATTTATCTGTCTTTTGTCTGTCTCTGTGTCTCTTCCTATCTATTTATTTATTTGTCTATCCCTATTTATCTGTCTTTTTTCTTTCTCTGTCTACCGATCTATTTATCTATTTGTTTATCTATCCCTGTATATCTTTGTTTCCTCTCTCTCTCTCTCTCTCTCTCTCTCTCTCTCTCTCTCTCTCTCTCTCTCTCTCTCTCTCTCTCTCTCTCTCTCTCTCTCTCTCTCCGTCTCTGTTACATTCCTATCGTCCCCTTTACTCGCCTGTTGTTTAGAATATGCTTCGTACAGTACTGTCAGTGTGATTTACCTTTTTATGGATTTGTTTTTGTTTATTTCGTAAGTAGTGTCAGTGTATTCAGTTTCCTTCGTATGCGTTTGTATGTTTCGTCTGCACTGTCACCGTTTTTTGCCAGGCGCTCGTCTTTCTGTTGTATTCCTTATTATTTAATAGACTTCGTCCTTACTGTGTATATTTTGCCTTCCTCGCCAATTCTTTTGTGTTATTCTTAGTCGCCTTCGTCTTCATTGTCTTTATTTTACAATCCTCGCTCTTTCTTCTTGTATTCTTAGTTACCTTTTCCTTTATTATACATTCCTCGTTCTTCCTATTTGTATTTTTAGTCACCTTTGTCTTCATTGTCTTTATTTGACGTTCCCTCTCCATCCTTTGTGTATTATTTTTTCCTTGTCTTTATTGTCTTTATTTGACTTCCCTTGTCCATCCTTTGTGTATTCTTTATTCCTTGTCTTTATCGTCACCATATTTCACCATCTTCGTCGCGTCTCATCGTCCCTACTATTCTTTTAAGGTCTTACACCTCAAACTACGAGGCGTGTTTCTGATACCGAGAGCCATTCTTGTGTCGTGTGGATTCTTTTACGAGAGGAGATCGAGGAGAATGGATGAGAATGAAGAAGAAGAAGAGAAAGAGGGCTTAGAAGGAAGCAGAAGAAGAAGAAGAAATCAGAGGCAGAGAGAAAGGGATAGAGAGAGAGAGAAAGAGAGAGAGAGAGAGAAAGGGATAGTGAGAGAGAGGAGTAGAAGAGAGGGAGAGAGAAAAGAATAGAGTAAGAGAAGAAACTGGAAAGAATGAAGAGGATAATTATCACTAATAACAACATGGTCTGAGAGGTGTTCTTGGGTCCCGTCGACGGCTACTGTTTGGTTTGAATAAACAGCTTAAGAGATTAGACCAGCGACTTATAAGGACATCTTGACATTTTTTTAAAAACAAAGGGGGATAATATGGAAGCGCTATGTTAATAAGTCATTAGATTTCTTTTTCTTTTTTAATGTTTAAAAAAGAAGCGTTTGAGGACTTGATAAGTGATATGATGGACGATATTAGAAAATCGCTTTTATTTATTTTTTTTATTAGTTTTGTTGGAAGAAAATTGAGATCTTTTCACCTGGGTTGTCTCCCTGCAACTCCTTTTACTTTTACTCTCCTTGGTGTAAGTCTTTCATTCTTGTCATATATATGTGTGTGTGTGTATGTGTGTGTGTGTGTATGTGTATGTAGGTATAGATGTGTTTATTTAATTATTTATTCATTCACTTATTTATCTATTTATCTATTTATTCTGTATTGTATGTATGATATATATATACTACGATATTTTGCTGTATGGATATACTCGGTCTTTGTGTTTCTTTTTCATATGCTCTTATCATTATCCTTATCATCTGCTCTATCAGCATTACTGCATTTTTAATTATTTTTATTGTATTCATTTCCATTATTCTCTCCTCTCTGCCAACCTAGCTTTAGGCCCCAATGTAACCGGGGCGAGTCTGGTTGTGCCTGAATAACAACAAAACAGGGAAGAACTAGACTGTGATGATGACGGGAAGAGAGAGAGAGAGAGAGAGAGAGAGAGAGAGAGAGAGAGAGAGATTAATTTCAAACGTAGAGGTTGAAAGACAATAAAAAAAAAGAAACTGAAAAAAGAGAGAAAGTGCAAAGAGGAGGGAAAATATATATAAATATAAGAGGAAAAATATCTAAAAAGAAAAAGAAAAAAAGATAAAATGCAAAGAGAGAAAAAGTGCCAAGTAGGAAAAGATAATAAGAAGAAAGGGTAAGAGTATCGAAAACAGAAAATAAATAAATTAAGGGGTAGAGGAGAGATGAGAAGCAATGAGAAAATTAACCAAGAGAAAGAGAGAATAAGAAAGAGAAGATAAAACAATGGAGAGAGGAAGTGAAAAGAGAAGAAATGAGAAGATAAAACGAAGGAAAGAAGGAGTGAGGAAGAGAAGAAAAGAGGAAGGGATGGGGGGGGGAGGGGTAACTTCTCTCCTACGCACACAGACAGGTTTTATGAAGGATTTCCTCTATTGTTCTTTTTTCCCTTCTTTTTATTGTTTTTTTTTTTTCGTTCGTTCTTTTTATATTTGCTTATCTCATTAGCCACAGTCGAGGTTCTTTGTCCAAAGAGTTAGTTTATTTTGTGATCTTGTTATGATGTGCATCTTTCTCTCTCTCACTATTTCTCTCTCTCTCTCTCTCTCTCTCTCTTTCTCTCGTTACGCATATTTTATTCAGTTTCTGTCTTTCACCCTTTCATTGCAATTTAAGTCACTTTTTGTATTGCAACCATTTACCCTTTTCTTTTCTTTTTTCTTTCCTTTTGTTGTTGTTTGTTTTCTATTTCAAATTCTTTGCTATCCTGTAACTCCCTTTGTTGACTCGAATGAGATTTGTATTATAAATCTGCAGCAATATATTTCTCTCTTCTCTCTATTCATTTCATCAGTTGATTTAGTTTTATTTTTTAGTTGTTTTTTATATACTTTTTCTGTTAA